TCATGTATTCTTCCACTGGCTCTCTGGCTTCTTCTCTGCCGATGCTGATTATTTTCGGACTGACAGGTAACACTTCATTATTCACAATCACACATTTAACAGAAAAACACGTTTTCTCAACCCAATTAGATCTGCATCGAAATTAAAGCCGTTTGCTTTCATTTCAGTTCCCACAGACTTCAAATCTAATGCCCCCTCTGTAATAGTTTTATTAAATGCAGTTACAGGATTCGAGCTTCCTCAGACCTGTTAATGTGCAGAATAGCCCCGCACGCCAGCGTAAGAGAGCGCTAAGACGGCATTTACGTTTTCACGCAGGCTGACGTTTCTCCCGAGTTCTTTCCGCTCGAGAGCCGTTCCCGTCCTCCCAGCTTCCCTCAGCGTTTGTGTGTATTTTAAACTCAACAAGTCCATAAAAACTCTTCCTCCCGGCTCTGCACGTTTCCCGTGACACGTTTTGTTTATGTGCTTGAGGCAAGACTGATCAGCTTTGGATCAAACAAACAAAGAAGAAACACCACCCCATTTAATTAATACTTTTTGTGTGTTTCGGAGCCATAAAAACACTCCTGCAATGATTTCAGTCAGTCTGTAACATCACATAATGTTTAAGATTTAATTCTATTGGTTACACCTCAGAATAAGAAAGTTAAATGAGGCGGGGCTTGGACTGAAGTTTAACATACTGAACCAGGTTATATGTTTTTGGTTTTTTTGGCTTCACTAAATCAAACAAGTGCGAGAGAGGAGGATAACAAAAAGGTGCTGCTGCAGTCTTGTTTTAGGATCAGAGCAGCCTGTTGCAATAAATAAATGTTCCTTCTCTCATTGATGCTCCTTAACAAAAATCAAAGGGTTCATATCTCCAGCATCTAGAGCCCGTTTGACTTTGTTCTGATCTCAGAGGATTTTCTGAGTGATGACATTATTTTCTAAGAGGATTCATGACTCAGCAGGAAGCGTTTTTGTTTAACTAGTGATGTTATTCTGAAGCGCTGTCGTCACATTAGTTACAAGACTAAAGCTAAAATCACGCTTTGCAGAGGTGTGCCAAAATCTGGGCTTAGAGGAAACATCGATTACAGTGCGTGAATTGACTTATAAGTTGGTAAAGTTAAAAACTGACCACTGAAGTAATGAAGCCTGATACAAAATAACCGCTTAGTGTCAGGTTAATAATCAGCGTGGAGCCTAAAATGCATTCAAGCTAATGTTGATTATTATTGAGCATATTTAGCTGTTTATCTTTCACTTTATTCACATGATCTGAGGTGTTTTCAGCAGGTTATGGTGCTGGTGAAATTCCCATCTTTTATATGTGACTAATAAAAAGCCTCTGCTGGTGTGCTTGGTAGACTTTTACATGGGAAATCACAATAAACAGAAAGCAGATGAAAAAAATCAAAGCTTGCATCAAACTCATCCTGCAGAGTCACGACTGTATGCCGAGCTGCGGCTCCTGGTTGTGTCCAGTTGGCTGACGGTCTGATTTCCTGGAGCGCTGCCATTCGCTGTGGCAGTTTGGGATTCTTGAGTTTCAAAACCAGAAACGGGCCGACCGCTCCCCGGGCGTATCCTCTGACTGCTGTTTCAGATCATTACGGAGCCCCAGTAATCAAAAGTGATTGATAAATGTTGTGTGTGTGTGTGTGTGTGTGTGTACACAGCTTTGTGTTGTCTTGAACTTGCATGCATGGTCCTGGTGTGTGTGCTGATATGTGACCTCACATCCAAGCTTATTTCAAAATGACACAGACGACACACTTTGTTACAAAAACACGTTGAAGCTCCATCACCGTGTGAGCCGTGTGGGTGTCGTTGTTGATGTGGAGGAGAAACAGGTTTGCAAAATGTTAACGCTCATTTTGTTTTTGTCCTGTTTCCTGTTTCGTCCACTTCTCTCCCCCCTCCCTCCTTCCACCATGTTCCAGTGGGTACTCCTTACTACATGTCACCGGAGAGGATACATGAAAACGGCTACAACTTCAAATCTGACATCTGGTCGCTAGGATGCCTGCTCTATGAGGTAAACTGGGAACGCGTGCACACACTGCCACCTCGCACTCGACGGTAGGAGTGACACGAGAACACATGAGCTGACACGTGTAAACAACCCGTTCTCATCCATCGTCGTGCATGAAGATATGTACACACAAGCAGTAATGGGAAAAATACAAACATGCACGCTTCGTTAGTGATATTATCTTCTAGATGTTCTGTCGCTGTTGTTTTCCTCTCGTCTGATCGCGGCTCGTTCAGGCCTCGCAGTCTGTTCTGTAGACCTGCTAAACATTGAGAGTCTGCTGAGTGAAGGGAACTGACATGGCCATGTGTTTTAGATGAAGCTTTCCGGTGACACTGACTAGTTTGATTAGTCGGGAGCAAACCACCACAGGGCGCTGCTGTAGACCACACTGAGTGGAGACAAGCCCAGGAGGAGCACACACAGAGGGAACAAAGGGAAAGGAGTGAGGAGCAGAACGATGATAGACACGGATGATAGCAGTCAATCTGACATCGCAGCTCGCCGGCGTTCCCGTGCAGACACACACGGCCGGGCACAAAGTCAGAAACACACTGCGGGCTGAGGAAATGCCCACATTTTCCTCCCCTCGTCTCTCCCGACTCCCCTGAGCTGCTGATCATTTGGGCTGCATTTCAACGCACCAGTGACTACACCTTCTCTAAAGCGCCTCAGGCACAGAGGTGGAGAACGCGTAAGGAAGAAGTTTGAGCTCAGCTTGCAGGTCATGGTTGCTCAGAGACCACAGTCCTTCATGCTAATTAGCTCCCCACAATGCACTGCGGCAGCGCACGTCTGTGGTTGGTTGAAGGATGTGGATGCTGTAGGTCACACTCAGTGTTTCTGTGTGTTTGTGTGATTGCTTGCATGGAAGCCGCTCCTGTTACTGTTAAGAAAACAGCTGGGCTGCACTGGGTCTGGCACGCCTACAACAGTCCCAGCCTTTACTCTTTACACATCAGACTTTGGTGTTACATTAACATTTTCCAGCAGGCCGCTGTCTGTCCATTTGTTAAAACTTTCATCATGTGCTGCATCGATTGTTTTCCACTTTTAGCTGGCACACAGCACTTTGATCTTTCATGCATTTCACTGGCGTCACAGTCTAGACCAAATGCAGAGAAAGTACGATGGAGACCAGAGATGAGGAGAATCTGGGAGTGAGCTCGAGAGCAAAAGTGAAAAATGGATGAGACTGTTTCTCTTTGAGTAAGCCAGAAGGCAAGGAAGAAAGATGGAGGGTGAAAAAGTTTAGGAATCTATATATGAACAATATAGGAAGCTGGAGAAGGGTGGGGGAATAGGCAGGAGCCATAAGAGTGAATGAAAAGAGAGGAGATGGAAGGTTTGGGAGCAGAGGGGAAGAAGTGAAAGAGGAAAAAAGCGAGAGCGGGGAAGTAGATTGCTGGAGCGAGGAGAAGGATGGGGGGTGCTCATTCAGAGAGAAAGTACTGCAGGTACAAGAGCAAAGACAGAACTCCAGCCATCAGGTCAAGGTGAGCCATGCAAGGTGCCTGTGGAGATAAAGATTTTACAAGCTTATTGTTACCAGAGCAGCGCTCACCACGCCATGCATATTCTCTTTGAAGAGCAGCCTCTCGCCTTGCACTGTTCTTACTGAGAGGGCTCCGCGGTGCATTCGTTGTCTGGAAACTTGCCTCTCTCCAAAACTCTCTTCTCCATTCCTCTTTGCTCACATCTTCAGCTTTCTCCGAATGCCTTCCTTTTCCTCACTTAACCTTCAGGCATAAGGAATTCACACAGAAATCCACGCCTGATCCCTTCGGTGCTCATTGATTTCACTACAATAGGAGGATCGCGCTGGTTTCTGAGCGCGTGCGTCCGCGAGCGCGCGTGCGTCGGTAACCCAGGGAGTTTGAGAGAGCCTGCGTTTTTCATCCTCGTGCCTGGGGGTTAAGTTCGGGTCCAGGGGGCCGCACGTCAATACCTGGTCATTGTATCTGCGTCCGTCTTCATCTCCCATTCTGTTTGATCCCCTTCTTGTTGTGTCCAACTTCATTACATCATCTGGCCCCGCGCCCTCCGCCCAAACTGCCGACACCGCCGTAAACGGGGACGCTCAGCTGGGTTGTCTCCCACGGCGACATGGTCACATGGTTGCAGGGCAGGCAATGAGACTGCTGTCTGCTAGTGCTCGTTACAGTCGAAACCACCTCATACTTGAATCAGTACCACACACACACACTCGCACACACACACTCGTGCACACACACTCGTGCACACACACACACTCACACACACGCACTGTGGGTCGCCTGCTTGCATAGATCTCTTGCGGTTTCTGTTTTGGTCTTAAAGTTGGAGGAGGAGAATATGTCGAGAAGTTTTACTGGAATGCGTCTCCTTCCTGTATGAAGCGTAACCATCCGTACCTCTGACTGTGCCCACGCCCCCTCCCCTCTTGTTTTGCTGGAGCTTTTACGAGGCCCAAAAATGCCGGGTCCTCTGAGCAGCTGGCGTTTGCATGTGATGAGCTGTGGTTAACCCTCTGTGTGGCAGAAACAGCGATTTCTGGTTTTAAAGGCTTTTTTCTGTGTTGTTGAAGCTCCTCGTTTGCTCTCGGGCTGCGACTGAAGCATGAATAAAAGTGGCTCTACCTGCTTATCTGTCAAACTTTATTAACAAAATATTATTTGTAGATTTTAATTAGGCAGTCGATCACACACACACACACAGACACACACACACAGTGTCTAAAGGCAGGCCTGACATTGTGATGTGAAACCAAACTAGTGCTGCAGGCGTGTAGGTGCATATGTGAGAAAGAGAGAGGATGAAAACACAAATATAGTTTTTATTTTGATACATTTATGGTTCGATGTGTATTTTTATTTATAACTGAGGGTTTGTGAGGAGCTCTTTAGTCTCAGGCCGTTAAGGCTCGAGGGATGGAGGTGGTTGGGAGGGGGGGAGGCGGGAGTCTCATGCAGCTCCTTTAATTGGCGTACAGGGAGAGGAGCTGGAGAGCGAGCGTGTGAGATCAATGTTAATTACGCTGGAAGGCCCTATGCAGACCTTTTAGGGAGGGATGCTACCTATACATGACCTGGCCTAATGCAGAGCAGAGTGGGGACGTTTGACGTGAGGCTCTTCTGATGGTCATTACTTTATGATAGACTTTGAAACAGCTGCTCGAGGGTTACGAGTTGGCTTAGAGTTAGGATATAAATCAGCTAAGGTGGTGGTTTGCATTGGGGTTGCCCTGTGAAGCCGTGATGTTACATTTCAGGACGAGGGGCTGGGAAGTGCATCGTGTCAGCGATGGTCCTCACAAATATAGAAGCACAAACCTACGTGCGCGTGTGTTCTGCCACCAGCAGCTCACAGCCCTCAGACAGACAGCAGGCATGCGTGTGCATTGTATGTCTCTCGAATATCAATGAAGCATACACACATACACACACAATCGCGCACACACACCGGGGGCTCAGGGGTCAGAGAGTGAGTCAATCATCTAAACCGTTGCGACGACACAGTCTGAAAAAAGGAGTGAGTGTGTGTTTGTTTGTGTGTGTGTGGGTATGCAACTTTATGGTGTGTGTGTGTGTGTGTGTGTGTGTGAGCAGGGGGCCGGCAGCTGTCAGGGGCTAGGAGCAGCAGGCACTAATGAAGCAGATGAATAGTGCAAAAACTCCCAAATACAAACAGGACAGTTGACATTTTTCATCTGTCAAAAGCAGAAGATGCATGAAAATACGACGGGGTCTTGTTTAACCCTTCACACGCTGCTGTGTGGCGTGCAGCTCTTCTTTTTTCTCCCTTTCTCTCCCTCCGTCTCACTCGCTAATTGGGAAATCTGGATTTTTGGAAACCGCTAATTCTTACATGGATACCTCAAAATATGAAACCTGAACATGGATAGAAATGTGTATTTTTACATGTAGAAATGAATCGAGTAATGATGATGATCTTTGTCAAAAAAAAGTCTTTTTCTATTTTTGTCTTGTTGTTGTTTTTTTAACATGGGAGTGAGCAGAGCGCCTAACACTGCGAGCTTTGGCATTTTCAGGTATCGACTGTGGTTATTCAAAAGTGATTGGATTCTGAAATGAAAGGGCAAGATGTCCACTGACCTCGGTGGCAAATGACTCATAGGTTCAGCAGCCTTGTTGGGCAGATGATTTATTTACAAGCTGCAATGAATGACTAATTATATGGTCATTTAATTGCAGGTAGTGAGCTGTTGTCTATGGAAATGCATGTTAAATAAGGGTCCATAGCTATAGCACACTGAGTAATTAACATGTTGGAATAATAATACCTTAACTTGTTGCCGCCTGTGTTAATGGATTTTTAAATGTAGTTGTGTGTGTGTGTGTGTGTGTGTGTGTGTGTGTGTGTGTGTGTGTGTGTGTTAGTTTAATGTGGAGCAGCTGTGAAAACCTTAAAAAAAGGTATGCAAGTTTGCATACAGATTACTTGTTTTTTTTCCACGCGTGTGCTAATCAGCTGTGTAACATTTAGCATCCTTCAGTCGTCCTGTGAGTGTGCACACGGCTGCTTCTGCTCGCCTTGGTAACGACA